ACGACCAAAATGTCTTACAACCTACAATGACTTTAGTAAACACATTGAAATTGAAAAGTTCTAACGACCAAAATGTCTTACAACCTACAATGACTTTAGTAAACACATTGGAATTGAAAAGTACTAACGACCAAAATGTCTTACAACCTACAATGACTTTAGTAAACACATTGGAATTGAAAAGTACTAACGACCAAAATGTCTTACAACCTACAATGACTTTAGTAAACACATTGGAATTGGAAAGTACTAACGACCAAAATGTCTTACAACCTACAATGACTTTAGTAAACACATTGAAATTGAAAAGTTCTAACGACCAAAATGTCTTACAACCTACAATGACTTTAGTAAACACATTGGAATTGAAAAGTACTAACGACCAAAATGTCTTACAACCTACAATGACTTTAGTAAACACATTGGAATTGAAAAGTACTAACGACCAAAATGTCCTACAACCTATAATGACTTTAGTAAACACATTGGAATTGAAAAGTACTAACGACCAAAATGTCTTACAATCTACAATGACTTTAGTAAACACATTGGAATCAAAAAGTACTAACGACCAAAATGTCTTACAACCTACAATGACTTTGGTAAACACATTGAAATTAAAAAGTACTAACGACCAAAATGTTTTACACCCTGCATGACTTTGGTAAACACATTGAAATTAAAAAGTACTAACGACCAAAATGTTTTACACCCTGCATGACTTTGGTAAACACATTGAAATTAAAAAGTACTAACGACCAAAATGTCTACAGCCTGCAATGACTTTGGAAAACACAATGAAATTAAAAAGTACTAATGACCAAAATGTCTTACAACCTGCATTGACTCTAATAAACACATTGGAATTAAAAAGTACTAATGACCAAAATGTCTTACAACCTGCAATGACTTCCATAAACACATTGGAATTAAAAATACTAACGACCAAAATGTCTTACAGCCTGCATTGACTTTAATAAACACATTGGAATTCAAAAGTACTAACGACCAAAATGTCTTACAACCTGCATTGACTCTAATAAACACATTGGAATTAAAAAGTACTAATGACCAAAATGTCTTACAACCTGCAATGACTTCCATAAACACATTGGAATTAAAAATACTAACGACCAAAATGTCTTACAGCCTGCATTGACTTTAATAAACACATTGGAATTCAAAAGTACTAACGACCAAAATGTCTTACAACCTGCATTGACTCTAATAAACACATTGGAATTAAAAAGTACTAATGACCAAAATGTCTTACAACCTGCAATGACTTCCATAAACATATTGGAATTAAAAATACTAACGACCAAAATGTCTTACAACCTGCAATGACTTCCATAAACACATTGGAATTAAAAATACTAACGACCAAAATGTCTTACAACCTGCATTGACTTTAATAAACACATTGGAATTCAAAAGTACTAACGACCAAAATGTCCTACAACCTATAATGACTTTAGTAAACACATTGGAATTAAAAAGTACTAATGACCAAAATGTCTTACAACCTGCAATGACTTCCATAAACACATTGGAATTAAAAATACTAACGACCAAAATGTCTTACAACCTGCATTGACTCTAATAAACACATTGGAATTCAAAAGTACTAACGACCAAAATGTCCTACAACCTATAATGACTTTAGTAAACACATTGGAATTAAAAATACTAACGACCAAAATGTCTTACAACCTGCATTGACTCTAATAAACACATTGGAATTCAAAAGTACTAACGACCAAAATGTCCTACAACCTATAATGACTTTAGTAAACACATTGGAATTAAAAAGTACTAATGACCAAAATGTCTTACAACCTGCAATGACTTCCATAAACACATTGGAATTAAAAATACTAACGACCAAAATGTCTTACAGCCTGCATTGACTTTAATAAACACATTGGAATTCAAAAGTACTAACGACCAAAATGTCTTACAGCCTGCAATGACTTCAGTAAACACATTGGAATTAAAAAGTACTAACGACCAAAATGTCTTACAACCTGCAATGACTTCAGTAAACACATTGGAATTAAAAAATACTAACGACCAAAATGTCTTACAGCCTGCAATGACTTCAGTGAACACATTGAAAGAAAAAGTACTAACGACCGAAATGTCTTACAGCCTGTTATAACTCCAGTGAACACATTGAAAGAAAAAGTTCTAACGACGCAAATGTCTTACAGCCTGTTATAACTCCAGTGAACACATTGAAAGAAAAAATACTAACGACGCAAATGTCTTACAGCCTGTTATAACTCCAGTGAACACATTGAAAGAAAAAGTACTAACGACCGAAATGTCTTACAGCCTGTTATAACTCCAGTGAACACATTGAAAGAAAAAATACTAACGACGCAAATGTCTTACGTTCCGGTGTCCGGTTCACATACTTCGGGAGTATCCCACATATAACGAATGTGATGATAGGAAGTCTGCCTCATTGCGTGGTATATAAAATAATAATCTCTATTGAGAAGAGAATGATCGATAAAATATCGTCGACATAGTCTGGGTATGAAGGCATTGGGCTAGATTCCAGACTTGACGACCTGAAGAAAAAAATTGAAAAAATAGTGCAAAGATTCTAAATGGATATTAGGATTTAATAATTTATTGTCGATCTATATAATCTATAGTTGGCTGTATAATTACTGTTATACTCAGCGTCCTGATAGGTGGACACTACATTTGAGTCATAATTGGTGTAATTAATGTTTCTCATTTTAATTGGCATTCCAAAATTTCGTTTCACAATTATATACCTCACACAAGTCGTCTGATGAATGAACATTCGATATATGTTGTGTGTTATGTTTCTATATTTTTTCGGCGCTCCAGAAGTATGAGTACCAATATGAAAGTAGCTAATTTTGTTTGCCTACTTTACATCAAGTTGTGTAAAGGGACTGAGACTTATGGGAAGAGGGTATATTCACTTGGCTAACACTGACAGTCTCAGAGCTCGTAGTAAGTTTTTGATTTTTGTGAAGTCATCGGTTCCCAAACATTTCGTTCGTGCGGCGCTAAATTATTGTGAAAATAAAATCACGACACACCTGCACGAAAAATGCTGCTTCCAAATAAAACTCAGTTTTGTGATCTTAATGTGTATTTTCTGCCTTTTGAAATTTGTAAACATGTAGGTTTAAGGCGTAAAGTCAACTTTTCTTTTTTTATCTGTGCAAGGTTTTCCTTTTAAATTCTAAAAAAAACACTCATGTTAACCAAAATAGGATCAGTGGATAATAAACTTTAGAAAGAAAGAAATTTTAAACTTACAGAAAGGTAAAATGAATCCATTGATTGATATCCACAGCATTTAAATTAGGAACAATAAAACATTTATATTAAATACAATATGTAAAATGTTTAATCATATTAAGTTTATATTTAACACAATTCTGTTAATTTTCGCGGCGCACTGGTGCACATCTCCTAAGAAACGCTTACGACACTAACTCATTTGTTACGTAACAATAGAGGCAGACTCTACGTAACAAAAAGTAAAAGACATAAAAAGGTAAAATGAATTGATTGATTGATATACACAGCATTTAAATTAAAAAAAAATAAATCATTTATAATAACGGCAATATGTAAAATATTTATTCATATATTTGTTATGTTTAACACAATTCTGTTAATTTTCACGATGCACTTAGCGACTCGTTCCTAAGTTATAGCGCTCGGGGCTATTGGGGATAATTAAACTAATAATTATACTTAATTCTAATTAAAACTCGTTTTGCCGGTTTTGAAACCTGGTTTTGTACGTTTCATCTCGTTTCCTTTCATTATAAGTTTTTGAGATCTCCTAATGCGCTTAATTGTTGAAATATCGAAAGCCTGTTGTGAGCGAGCTGAGGTTGATGGCACAATGAAAGCTAATTTGAATCTGAGGAGAACTTTAAATATAAATATGTGTTCAGGCTTGTTTATGGGAATGGGATGGGACAGCACACTTAGGATTTCCCATGGGGCACAAGGGACACGAAACACTGTAAGATTTTAGAGGAAATGATGGTAAAACATTTCGTTATGGATTTCGTTACCCTATATTTGAGCATAGCTCTCTTGTTAGTTATAAAAAGCAGGATATATTCAGTAATAATAGTGTACTTTGTGAAGGGGCTGATGGACACATGTATAATAGTTATGAATATAAAGTTAACAAAGTCAGTAAATTTTGTTGCTTTGCGAGTCACTTCGTGCATGTAGTCGTACATTTAGTAGACGCTAAACCTAAATTTTACAACTTTTATTGAATTGTATTCCAATGGGATGGGATGGGACAGGCCTGAATTGCTATAGAATGGGACAGAAAAAATTGTCCCATGGACAAGTCTTGAATCTCGCGCAATAGAAAATAGACTGGTTGAACCACAGAAAGTATCTCAAATTCAGATTATATATTACATTTTTTGGACCTTCAGAAGTATGTGCACCAAGATGGCGCACAACCTGAACATGGTAATTGTACGAGGTTAGGGTTCAGGTTGTGCGCCATCTTGGTGCACATACTTCGGTAGCGGTTTTTTATGGGGAAGGCGCATGCAAAAACCAATATCCAACTGAAAAAGAGATATCATTCTAGTCAAGGGGGTGCAAATTACGGCCCGCGGGCCGGATTCGTCGCAATGGTTCCTGCTGAAATTACGTCTATAGTATTAGTGGAATATAAATTTCCCCTTTGACAAATACCTCACATCAGTAAAATGAGCAGGCAGGCTATTGTTACCAATGCTAGTTAAATTTTGAAATAAACTGTTTCTTATTTATAATTTCATATTGAGTTTTGAACTTCCGGTCCAGTCACCAAGTCTTTTATCTGTGAGTGGTCCACTTAGGAAAGTAATTGCCCACCCATGTTCTAGTTAATTTTATATAGATGAGAAGCTAACTTAAAACAAAGCAGAGTAATCAGCGCAATCAGAGTTAATTAGTAGCGAAATTATTCCAAGAATCTCGGAACCATATATTCAGTATTAATACGATACAATCAATATAATAAATTAATAACCATTGATATTACCTATAATAGATTACCAGTTCAGATTGTTTGACAATGTTGAGATTGGGCGCCATTATTCTATGTTTGGTTGTGATTACTCCACATCCCTCACAAGGTAAGGTAATTTGTTTCAGCATTCATACCATCTTCTTTGGTACTCCCGTAGTATGTGTACCGGGTTAGGGTTAGGTCATAATTTTATTCCGATTTTCCTTATTTTAGTTCTATTACGAGTTCGGGGACTGTCTATGTTAGCTAATAAATATACACCCTATCCATAGGTTCCTGTCCCTTTACACAACTTGATGTAAAGTAGGCGAACAAAATTAGTTATCTCCATATTGGTACACACACTTCCGGAGCGCCTCTTCTTTGGAGTGGATTCGATATCCCAATAATAATTATATAGATAAATTCAATAATATTGTTATTATATCATTTAGTGAAAAACAATTAATAAATAAATATTTTCAAAAATCGGATTTCTCCATTTGATTATCCTGTATTCAATTTTATCGAACATACTCAGTAATTTGAACCCGTGTTAGTCCAAAGTAAAATATATTCTGGTATTTCTCTTATTCTTAATTCTGAGCCCTGCTAAAAAAATTATAACAAAGTTTCAGAAGTATGTGTACCAATATGGAGGTAACTAATTTTGTTCGCCTACTTTACATCAAGTTGTGTTATTAAGGTACTGAAACCTACGAGCACTTGGCTAATACAGACAGTCCCCGAACTGGTAATAGAACATGAATAGCGAAAATCAGAACAAAGTTATGGCCTAACCCTAATCTGGTACACATACTACGGGAGTACCCCTCATTCTATAAGTATAAAAAAAATTATTATTTAGAAATTCAGTTTATAATTTTCAATAATTGAATTTTCCCAAAGTAATATGCAGAAAGAGTATTCTGTAACTGGAAAGAGGTTTCTTGTTAAAATTACCACAAAATACCTATTATCTCTCAATTTCGTTCCAAGCCAATAATATGATATAAATATATTTATTTTACTTCAGCGCGACGGAAATGTTGGCATTGTTTAAATGCGAGAAGCCAAGCAGAATGCATAGCCAAAGGACGTTTGGAATTATGCTTAGTGAATGAGGTATATTTAATCTCGATAAAGTTTTTTTTATTATTTTTTAGTATGAGGAATACAAAGCACTTTGCAAATTAGCATTTCGTGCTGAACTTTAAAAAATACGTCACTCGTATTTGACGAAAAAAAAACGCATCAAACTATTTTTTCTCGCGCTAATGACTTGGTTTTTGCAAAACTAACTACTTATCCTGCTTCTATGCTTTTGCCGGTGGGTCCGGTACGCATAAAATGCAAGGATGCTGTAGCAAGAGTAAACATACCTATCCTATCGCTGTTATTTAACATGCGTTTAACTATATGATGTGATTGTGACGTCCAATTGCGTAATTTTGGGATGGCATAGTCAGGTGGCGGTTAGGAATCACATGTGCAAAAATCGTTAAGCTACGCCAACTAAAAGTACTATAGGTACGAAACTACACGAGACCTGAAACTTAGATTTGTATTGAAGTTTTACCATGGTCATATGCTGATACTTTGTTTTGGATATATATAAATCGGAACTTGTTTCGTAACTTTGAAAAACACGAGGGAATTTAAGATTATAATTTATTATTATGCGCTTCATCGTCAGAATGAAGAGGGAAATCGCCTAATATTATATTCAAGTGGAGAAACTTAGATTTGTATTGAAATTTTATCATCATGATGTTGTTGTTTATTCTTAGAATTTTTGTCAAAACACTATAAGAGCAATCGGAGGAGGCATCTATTATGAAGTCACTAAACGTTGCAAACAAACTGTTGGATGTGATAACAACCAAAAACAGGTGTGAATGAATAAATGATAACATAAATACGAATGGCGACTTTTCGAATAAAGCTACCGTGTTTCCCAAAAAATAAGACCTACCCAAAAAATGAAACCTACCCCGAAAATCAGACCTACTCTGGGAATAAGACCTACCCTTAAAATAAGACTTACTTCGAAAATAAGACTTACCCTGAAAAAAGATTTTTACCCCGGAAATAAGACCTATCCTGGTAAGACTTCTTCCATTACACAAATTTTAAATTTATTCTGTCCTAGTCGATAGCAAGAAATCTCTATCACACATTTTTGATGATTAATAAACTATGTTTTGCAGCTATTTTAAATAAAAACGTGTTATTTATAAGTAAATGGATATCGGTTTTCATATTATGTATATTTGAAAATCTACTAATTCTCTACTGGTGGTTATATATTTTATTAAACACGAGAGCTATGCTCAAATATATGGACAAGTAGCGCCACATAATTTTGATGACGTCATAGCAAAAAAAAAAAGTGATAGCTTTCTGGAGAAAAAATCCATCCTTAGGCACTGAAAATTTTAAAGCAATTAGTCCAGTAATCAAAGAGAAAAGCGATTTCTTCAAAACGTGTAAATAAACAAGAACAACATAACAACAAAACGATCGTTATGTCCACTACGTGTCCAATAATGATTTGAAGCATGCAAATCAGTTCGTGAGTGTCAACTCTCCAAAACACTCGCAAAATAAACGTTCAAAACTTTTAATAGCAAAATATAGGGCGAATTTCTTTGGGGTCAAGGGTCGGGGAAACATCCATGGACAGTTACGTCGCAATTAAAATTTGGGCGCTCCGAAAGTATTTGTACTAAGATGACGCACAACCTGAACAATCCGCTCCTGGTACACATACTATGTTCAGAATGTGCGCCATCTTGGTACAAATACCTCCGGAGCACAGAAATCCGTATGGCCTGAAATCAGTTGGCAATCAATATTTTATCTTATTACAGAACATATCAGGAACTTATCCATTCCAATGTGATACTGAATTACCTCACTCCGTATGCAGATGCTGTTGTGGTTTCGACAACTGTAATGGTCCCAGCATTGATTGCATGCAAAGTACGTATAGATTGTTTTTGTAGAATGTCGAATTTATCGAGTGCAAATGTCAGGTCTGAACAGTATGTGTATGTTCCCCAGTTTTTCATTATAGGGTCATTTGTGGATTCGAAATTTAGGGGCTGGTAAATATTTTACTATGAGCGTTTTATCTCGTAACTTATTCGTAACTTTATAATTCGTAACTTATAATTCGCATTGGTGTACTTTTTACAATCTTTGATCATTTAACGCTCCAGAAGTATTCGTACCAAAATGACGCACAATCTCAACTCTAACCTGGTATACATACTATGTTCAGGTTGTGCGCCATCTTGGTACACATACTTCGGGAGCGCCAATCATTTTACCAAAAAAATGTAGCGTCTGGTGGAGTTTCGTACCTAAAGTATTTCTGGTGGGTTTAGCATAACCATTTTTGAGTTTGTCGATTTTAATCGCCACTTGAATAATTACGTTACTACGTCACAGTGTGGTAATAAGGCTCTTTAAACTATACGAACTGTCATCCAAGATGCGCTGACAATCACCTGTTTTCTCATCGAAATGATCCCGATACGAGAGAGATTGCTGTCGTTAGTTCTTTATCGTCAGCGGAGATGCCATTCCGGGTTGTTCATAAGCATACTTTAGCAAGCCCTTATGTGTTTGTGACGTCAAAGTGATGTAATTTTTGGATGAACGACTCCAGTCTCGCAACAAGTGTAAGAAATATAACATTTTTATCAATAATTTCAGACAAACCAGAATGTGAAAAACCTGAAGCACCAAGAAATGGATATGTATTTTGTCCAAGTCCTCCGCTGGTTTCTGGAACCTCATGCTACTACAAATGCAAGCCAGGTACCTGTTCACTTGTTTGTTATTCCTTAATATGAAGTAGAAAAACAATAAATAACATTTACCTGTCATTATCGATGACTTCACAATGAATGGATTCTCAATATTATCGCGACAGATGCACAGTTGCACGCTTAATCACTGATCTAAAGTTACGAACTTTCTATTACTATCAAATATCCCACGAATTGTATTTCAAATCAATTTTACAAAGTATGGTTGTCCATCCAGCTATTAATTATTATGCGTTCGTCGACATGAAATGCGTCGGAACGGAAGATCAGTCGAGCGTTTGCCGTTTACTATCTGTAGCATCATAATGGTAAGACAATGATCATTTTGAACCATTTTGAGGCATCGATGCTGTCTTTCGATCCGGACAGTCATGTCGTTTCAACATTAAATTCAGAAATTTTCAACCATATAAAATATTTTTTTGAGACGACACTATTTTTATTAAGAACTCTGGTTCTCCAACCTTTTAAGACTCACCTGTTTTAGAATTTGTCAAGTTTCGCGTCCCACCTCAAAAATGACTAGCTAACAATAAGCTTAAAATAACAGATAGTATTAGTAATGCGAAAGTATGTTTTATTAAGAAAACATTTTGAAAATACGTGGAGGAATTGTAAATATCTAAAATAAGACAGACAAGATCTAATGTAACAATTTTTTTTTATCTTATATTAGCTTCATCCAAAAAAAGTGTCTACGCACTCCTTGTGGGGAGCTCCTCACTGTTTGATAACCACTGATTTGGAACTAAGGCATTTTATTCTCTTTAGCGTCTGGTTTTCGATATGTACATTTCAATATACTGTTTCTTATCATTATGTAAATCCAAAAACTAAATAAACAAACAGGATAATCAAAAATTTAATTTTTTTTCTCCTTATTTCATTTCAGGATTCAAGCTTGAAGGTAGCACTTCAACAGTTTGTGAAGTTGAAGCGACTGTAGCCGCTTGGTCTAATGGACCACCAGCGTGTGTAGGCAAGTTTAAATAATTTATTAAAATATTTCTCGGTGCTCCAGAAGTGTGTGTACCAAGATGGACGTAACTAATTTTGTTCGTCTATTTTACATTAAGTTGTGTAAAGGGACTGAAACCTATGGGTAGGGGATATATTCACTTGGCTAACACAGACCGTCCCCGAACTCGTAATACAACTAAAATAAGGAAAATTGGAATGAAATCATGGCCTAACCTAGCCTGGTACACATACTTCGGAAGTACCTATTTCTCAATATATTTTTTTGTTAAAATTTTTACAAATCCAGTATTAAAATTCATAGGTATTTCGGTATTGAATGTATTTTTCCGGATTTTCCTAGTATTTATTTTTCGATTTTTTTCCTCGGTATAATTTAATGTTGGACTTCCTCATAGGAGACGCTGCTCGATAACCATTACTGGTTTATCGCGTCCTCCTCCACACTGAAATGAATTTTTTTTATCTTTATTCTGTATGTACAATGTGTATTTTTGGCACATTTAGAAATAAATTACTGGCAATGTAGTTGAACCCTTGCTCTAATGACTTGAATTTAAATTTTTCTCTTAGACTTCAAACAGATTTGATAGCAGATTCACTTTTCTGATCCTCTTCTTGTATTTTACAACATTTTTGTTTTTATAACAGTCAAACCCTGCAGACGGCTCATTGCACCGGTGTCCGGAAGCTTCGATTGCACAGATGGACGGAATATTGGAAGTCAATGCGATTTCAAATGCGAACAAGGAAGAGTGCTTGTTGGGCGAAAACTTCTAAGATGCTGTAAGAATTACAATTAAAAAAATTTAAGTTTTATTGAAATAAGAAATATTAGATTGGAAAATACAAATATTAGGTGGAATCGTATATTACAACACAAACGCGTTGCTGCAGCCAAATTAGAGATATCGTCTGAGACAAAACAGATAGCATTTTAGAGAATTATTACCCTGTTTGCCCGAAAATAAGACTTAGCATGAACTTAAAATAAATGATTTTAATATAAGTATTTCCTTTAAAGTAAGACCTATTCAATGACCCGTTTTTTTGTGACTTACTGGATAGCAGGAAATCTTTCTTACACGTTTCAAATGATTGATACTATATGTCTTGCAGGTATTTTGAATAAAAACCTGTTTTTCATAAGTAAAAGGATATCGGTTTTCATACTCCGTATATTTGAAAATCTCGTGATTCTCTACTTTGTAATTTATTTTCTGATAAATGAAAATATAAGTCATCTCCCAAAAATGAGCCCTAGTGTTATTTTTCGGAAGAAAATTGAAATGAGACCCATTCCTATTTTTGGGGAAACATGGTGGCAGTTTTTAGCCTAATCTGGGTAGGATATAGCAAATAGCCAGCACGAACACAAATAGCGTTCTAATATCCCTTTTGAACAGTTTTGTTTAATCAGTGGGGGGATTCAGCCGGTTTGCACCGGTTCTATAGAACCGTCTCACAAAATTTTATGAGATCAGCGAACCGGTTAGCATTACTGGTTGCTGTCAATGTTCTGTTTGCAATAGAACCGGCAGAAAAATATGACTTTCGTGAAGGAACCGACTGACAAAAAATTTGAATCCCACCAATGCTTCTAACTCAGTGGTTCTCAATCTTTTGTCTTTCGTGTCCGCAAAAATAGACGCTTCCACCTAAATAGAATGATAATAATTAGATTGGGATGAAAATTACCCTTTAGTAACAAAAACAGTGTTATCGTCTATTCGACACGTTAGTGTACATAACGATCGTTTTCATAATTTTGGTAATCTTGTTCTTGATGACTTTCTTCGTTGTATTGTTTTGAAAAAATCACTTTTCTCCTTGATTACTGGACCAATTGTTTTGAAATTTTTAGTGAGTTAAAATTATATTTTTTGCTAGAAGGCTTTTACTTTTATTTATCGTTTTTTTGTGTGCTATGACGCCATCAAAATTTGCCACTATGTGGTGCACGTGAGCATATTTGAGCATAGCTCTCTTGTTGCCACTACAATCAAAACGAAACAGAAGTGAATAGGTTTGTGGTCCACCTGAAAGTGTTGCTGTGGCTCAGCAGTGGGCCATGGCCCACTGGTCGAGAACCAGTTTTCTGGCCCCAATTCTGCTGGTTTGGTGATTATGATTTGGAAAAAAAAACTTGCAACATTGATGAATTGGTATACGGATAGTATTTATACGTATAATAGTAAGAGTTTTATAAAATGAAGAAATTAATTTTAAATACTTATATACGGTATACCAGTACTTTTTTTTCCTTTTTTTAGGTCTTTTACGAGCTCGGGGACCGTCTGTATTAACCAATTGAATGTCCTCCTGCCCGTAGGTTTCAGTCCCTCTTTATTTCTCTCTAGATTTATGTAAAATAGACGAACAAAATTAGTTACCTCCATGTTGGTATTCATACTTCGGGAGTATTATTGGAAACAAGAGAGCTACGCTCAAATATATGGACACGTGGCGCCACAATGTGGCAAATTTTGATGGCGTCATAGCACACAAAAAACGATAAATGAAAGTAATAGCCTTCTAGCGAAAATATAATGTTTACTCACTGAAAATTTCAAAGCAATTGGTCCAGTAATCGAGGAGAAACGCTATTTTTTCAAAAGGATACAAAGAAGAAGATCAACAAGATTACTAAAGATATAAAAATGATCCATAGGTCCACTCACGTGTCCAATTACTAATCTATATTACCTAATTATGAATTCCAGCACATTTGTCGATATGGGATCACAAGGAACCAACTTGTGAGCTTGTTACTTGCTTTCCTCCGAGGCCTCTTGATCCAAACCTTCTTCCTGCTAAACCTAGTTGTACGGACCGGTATAATTATGAAAGTGTTTGCAGGTGAGTTTTGAAGTATTTAGATTTTGGTGCTCCCGCAGTATTCGTACCAAGATGGCGCACAACCTGTACATAGTATGTATACCAGGTTAGGGATTAAGTTGTGCGTCATCTTGGTACGAATACTTCCAGAGCGCTTAGATTTGTACTAGGGAATCAATCTTTAATTGAATATCACTCTAAGAAATGTTCGGTGAATTTTACATCATTTTAGGGGTAAATAATTGAAAAAAATGAGGTCTGGTGATCCCTGGTACCGAAACCTTTCCCACCATATTATAGTAAGAAAATTAAAAATGAAATTTCGCTTCATTGATTGTACATATTGTACACTTCATGTAGATGTCATTCGATTTGATCGGAAGCTGACTTTTTAAATCATCAATTTTACAAGACCTTTTTTTTATATTATAAATTCATTCATTTCATTTGTTTATTTTCGTTCATATGCATTTTAACCCAAATCATAAACGTACCAAATGAGGTTCTAGTGTAGTTTTGTACCTCAAGTACTTTTAGTAGGCGTAGCATAAAGATTTTTTCACATGTAAATCTCAACTCCCACCTGACTACGCCATCCAAAACTTATGTCACTACGACGTCACAATCACGTCATAGAGCTTGCCAAAATATACCTACAATCGTTCGAAATGGCATCTGCGCCGACGATAAAGAAACGACAGCGATCTCTCTCATTGGGGTCGCTCGATTTCGGGTAATCGTCTGTACGTCTTTAATGACAGTACGTATAGTTTGAAGGCATTATTACGTCACTGTGACGTAATTTTGAAGATGAAGCAGTCAGGTCGGGGTTAGAATTGATATATGCAAAAATCGTTATGCTACGCCCAGTAGAAGTACCTAAGGTACGAAACTACACTAAACCCCTAAATCAAATCTCGTACACAAGGAAACGCTATGGTTTGAACTGCTAATTATGCTTAATAATAATTTTTTTGCAGCTTCTCTTGTCACCCTGACTACGATCTAATTGGAGCAGACCAGTTGATCTGTGGGCCACCAATTAGGTCCAAAAAAAAAGCTAGTTGGGATAATCGAACCCCAATGTGTCAAAGTATGTAAAAGAAGACAAATAATTTGATAGTTTGGATGGTCCAATTCGGGATTTTATCTTGTGAACTTTTGGTTTTATGTTGGTACCAATTAGATTGTAAATGAAGGTACAATCGATTCCATATTTGAAATTACGTAAATAAGGATGTCATGGCTATCATTCAAGCGAGCAAACTTTAACTTGAAAATTAGATAATGCAATATAATATAGTTACCTGGCGTGTTTATTGCACAAAACGATGTGCTCAAAGACTTTCAACGTCAAGACAAATTCACTTTTTCCTAAACATTTTGTAGCATCAACGTGAAATTTTGCCAATTTAATGTATTTAGTGATTTTTATTCAATTTCAAAATGCTCTTAACATAATATGGTATCAGTTGCAAAATAGGCAATTTTAATAAACATATTCTATTTACATGTAGTCAAGAAATGTCTTCCAAACTATCCTGGATGTTCGGAAAAGGTAGTTGGTGAAGAATGTTCATTCAGTTGTGAAGAATGTAACAGATTGAAAGGAAATAGAAATATCACTTGCACCAAAGATGGATGGACCGGAGTTCCAGGAACTTGCGAGCTGATTACATGCAACCCAAGACCAAGGTACTGAAGGACCATATAAGGTACTCTAGAAGTATGTGCACCAAGATGGCAGACACCGGAACGTAGTATGTGTAACTGGTTAGGGTTAGTCTATAATTCCATGCACAAATACTACGGGAGTCACTTGACTAGTCCCCGAACCCGTGAAAGAACTGAAATAATGAAAATTGTAATGAAATTATGGCCTAATTCTAACCTGGTACACATACTACGTTCCGGTGTCCGCCATCTTGGTGCACATACTTCTGGAGCGCCCCATACAATTGCCGTATTTTCCCATGATACAATTGCCGCAATGTATGATACGCACCCATAGATAACACGCATTTGCATTTTAGCACATCTTAAACCAAGGTACTGAAGGACCATGCAATTGATTATTTATCCATGATACAATTACCTCATTGTGTAATACGCACCCATAGATAGCACGTACCTGCATTTTAGCACTTCCAGTATTTCTAATCTCCTTGCATAATACGCAAACCGGCTAAATTAAAACACGCACCCCCTTTTTTGAACTCAAAATTTGGCTCTGAGGAGCTCGCGTATTATACACAAAGAACTGTGATATTGTACGTCAGTTACTAGACTACTAGTTTTCATACTTGCTATTTCATGTTTAGTTTCACAAAACAAAACAAAAAATACTCGCGATTTCATTTTCTTTTGGGGAAACTACTAAGATAACGAATAATAATCAGCTTCGTAATAATTTGCAAAATTGGAATAATCCTGATCCATCAGAATGTTAGGATAGGATAGGATTTACATATTTATTCCCGGGGAGAGGAAAGACGATAAGACGGCCTAACCATATGGCGAACCACGGCCTATCGTCTGGTTACCATTCCATGTCGGGTATAGGATTTTTTGTTTTCGGAAACATGGACTTGATGGTGGAGGACGCCGTAACCGACCAGCGGTTACGTGAACCATCCTAGGGCGGCCAGCAGTCTTCTCGCACATAACCCTCCCCGCATGGGATTCAAACCTGCGAACCCATGCAGAGTAATCAGAGGTGCGGTGACGAGCGTATTCCTAACGCTTAGCACGATGAACCACATTCAATATAATCAATTTTACAGCGCACCGGAAAATGGATTCATCGAATGCAGTGAAAATAATAACAATTGCGGCAACGATTGCGATATTTCATGTTTTGATGGTTTCAAATTAGTCGGATCCAGCAATATTGTTTGTCAGGAAAATGGGGAATGGAGTGGCGGCACTATTCCAGCGGTGTGCGAACGTAAGTTTGAAGTGTGACGAACCTTATTTTGGCGCTCCCGTAGTAGATGAACTAAGATGGCGGACACATGAACGTAGTACGTAGTGTACCAGATTAGGCGTAGGGCATAATTTTATTTCAATTTTCCTTATTTTAGTTCTATTACGAGTTCGGGTCAAGCCAAGTATTTGTACTTAAAAGTTTGGCCTAACCCTAACTTGGTACACATACTACGTTCTGGTGTCGGCATCTTGGTTCACATACTACATGAATACTCTTATCGGGGCTCCCGAAGTATGCGAACCAAGATGGCGGACATCGGAATGTAATATGTGTACTAGGTTAGGGTTAGGCCATAATTTTAGATATAAATACTACGGGAGTCTCTTGGCTAGTCTTCGAACTGATAATAGGGCTAAAATAGGGAAAATTGGAAAAAAATTATCGCCTAACCCTAACCTGTTACCCATGTTACGTTCCGATGTCCGCCATCTTGGTTCGCATACTTCGGGAGCACCCTCTTATCTTTTTCTATTAAATGCTGGTATTTGATATTAGCGCCAAAAGGCACTGTTAGTGCGCGGCAAATACCAGAATAAATCCTTGGAGCAAAAGATTTGACATGTTATATTTCGAATGTATTTTATTTATTGCAACATCTAATTGCAATCAATGTAAACAAAAAAAAGTTAGAGCCTGATATACGCAACACAAAATTCATTAAGTCTAATCTTGACATTGGCAAACTACGTTCAACTACGGGTAATTCAATCTGGCCCGCCTGATCCTGCCACAACCAAACTAAATCTAAATTTTGATGTTTTAGTTATAAATAGCTCAAGGAATAAGATTGCAATTAAATTTAGTTTTGGTACGAGGCTTATTGTTTTCCACTATTGTTTTTGTAACACTATAACTATTGTTCATACAATGTAACTTTTTCACGTCACATTCACATGGCCCGTCAGTTTAAAAACTCCCCCAATGGTCTAATTCCACAGTCTATTTTCACAACAAACTAATATCAGTTTTGATTTTTCTCAAAGCTGACGAATGCGACACCATCAATCTTCCGGGTATCATAGCTACCTGTCCCAACGGCAGAACCGTTGGAGATTCTTGTTCTCTTCGCTGCGCTGGAGTCAATAAAGAATTTATTGGAACGAAAATTGTCACTTGTGAAAAACAGATTGTTGGCAAACCAGACTGGGAACCGAATCTTAATCAGTATTGTCGAGGTATTCTTTTAAGCATCTGACGTGATTTCCATGTGATAAATCAAAGTTTCATAATTGCTGCATAAAATACTGTCAAATTATCTTGTGAAAATCAGGGCGTGCCGCCAAAAATAGGTACTCCCGAAGTACGCGTCCAAGATGGCGCACAACCTGAACATAGAATGTGTACCAGGTTAGGATCAAGGTTGTGCGCCATTGTGGTACGAATACTTCGGGAGCGCCCAATAAAATACATACTCAATTTTGCAATCTTTATTTCATTCATGTTGTTTCACGTACCCAATAATTTTGCTGTCCGATAGTAAGTAAGTGTCAATTTTGATTTTCCGCTACAGCAAAACAATGAGGCAATACATGCTAAAACAAACAAATATAAAAAAAAAATGAGAAAAGTGGACAAAATCTGAAAAAGATTTAAGATGTGCTGATGCACTTATCCCAAACAGCAAACAACACAAAAAAAAGAAGAGAATTAAAATAAAAGACACGAAAGATAATTCGGGCGTAAATACTTGGGTGTGGATGTGTAGTTTGAACATAGACTGCAATATAAATATTTTGTCGGGGGAATTATTATCTCTCGCCTTTTTTAACCAAATGATATGTTTCTTCAGATATTCTCTGTTCGAACTTTCCTCGTCCGAATGAACGACCACGCTCGGACGTAGGAACAATAACGTGTAATCCTCTTGCAAATCGAGTAGAAAGCGACAGGGACGGACGAGAAGGATGGAAAGTTACTACACAGTGCGAAATAAGTTGTAATGATAACTATCAGGCACGCCAACTAATAGATACAAGCACATGTAACGATGAAGGCCTTTGGACTGTTAATCAATTATGTTGTGTGGGTATGTTCACATTTGTATATAGTGTTACTCATTTATGGGCGCTCCGGAAATATTTGTATCAAGATGACGCACAACCTGAACCCTCATCTGGTACACATACTATGTTCAGGTTGTGCGCCATCTTGGAATGGATACTTCGGGAGCATCCATTTGTGTGCTGTGAAACTGGCGCATGCTCACTAAAGGACAGAAGTATCTCTATGGTATTCTACCACCTGAGTCCCTCATTCAAAGAGTACGTCTCTATGACCTCATAACCACGGTAAAATAGTTGGGCCATGCCACCTAGAAGTCTTTACGTCATGCTCAATTTTCACTTGTTTATCGATCTGATTTACTTATTAGATATTATATATCATATTAGATATTATTAGATGTAATATATTTCACATAGTCTGTAGACTCTGCACAGCGTTAATATATTCATACTCAGTAAAACAAATATTTGCTCAGTGTAGCATTTTTTAGAGGGATCACTGCCTACGGACAGGGGGTATATTCACTAAACCAGCCCGTGAGACTGGGCGGGCAAAATTTTTGGCCCTTGGTTCACAAACCCTGCCCATCCCTGGCCTGGTATCTTAACGACTGTGTACCGTAGTAAAGAGGTTATTAAGCACGAATAGAATACATATGCATATACTTTGTCTATTTAGCATGTTTACAAAACACTGCACTCGATGTTGTTGTACTTATGGATAAAACTGAAACTTCGTCCGATGAGAAAAATTTATGGAATATAAGGATGGATTTCTTGGTTAATTTCACTGAGTAAGTTGAATTTACTTGAATGTTTACTATTATAATCTACATCAAGGTGTCCAACCTGCGGCCCGCGGGCCATATACGGCCCACAAGGATAAATAGTGTGGCCCGTGAAACGATTCTTTGATCTGGTATGTACGAGTGATTCCTGAGTTCAGTTTGTGATCTATGATTATGATGTTACAATGCCCCAACATTTCGCCGGTACGAAGTGAAGAATTCATGTCATCGGATCAATAACAACACTTTCTGTGCATGCAACTACTAGAAAGGCTGTGTTAAATGGAGTTGTGGCCCGCGGTTTCACCCAGTTATTTGTATCTGGCCCTCCTGTGTTGAAGGTTGCACACACCTTATCAACATTAACGGTATTAGAAAATTTGTGGAATTTAAGGATGCATTCATTTCTTAGCCAGTTTTCTTGAAATAATGTTGGATTTTACTTTGTAATGTAATGTTGGAGTGTTTACTTTGTATTCAACAAAAGATCCTTATTAACAGTATTTTTCGTAGGTTATTGCAGAAAATTTCGCCGCAAGAGCATTTTTCTGTAAAACAAGTATTTGTAATTAAAACAGTTACCATAATTTTGAACTACCTATATTAAAAAAGACTCGTATTTTTCTGTGTCAAAATTTTCTGCGGCGAATATCCCGGACATGTTTGTTTGGCACTCCGGAAGTATGTGTGGCAAGATGACGCACAACCTGGACCCTAACTTGGTACACAGATTATGTTCAGGTTGTGCGCCATCTTGGTACTTCTGGATCACCATTTGTTGAGCATAGGGTCAGCATACCCTGTTTTTTTTTTATTATTCTTCGATGGCCGACCGATAACAGTATAGCAAGGATGCAAGACATTATGTATATTCGAGGCTGTCATGAAATCCTTGTTTCTAAGATTTGTCCTTATTTCGAGGGTCTTTGTCCTAGAAAAAAAAAATTGTCCTTATTTCTAAAAATGCATGTATGTTTATATGCTTCAAAATGTAACAATATCTGCATAATGCTTAAAAATTGTAAGAGAGATTGGATACATGTTCAAGATCTTACTGGCCTGAGACACAGATGTGCGACATGCACCCCTACTAACAATTATAACAGCAGTTTAGAACTGCTGCGTTATAGTAGGGCAACAGACATGAAATGGGCTATACAAATAAAACTCACATACAGTACACGTGTCCTTATTTTTATTTTATTTCAGGGGGATAGGTACCCATACAAGGCACTTAGATTGGTTAATTTGAATGGTGATTTGCTAGAAATGATATTTAGAACTTCATTGACTGCTATGCGCATTCATGGCGCAAGTGAAAGTGAACTTAGAAGACAGCTTGGAACAAATAGTTTCTAACCTCCATGAATACATTTTGTCTGTTACATTTCGTTTTTTGTTATCTTTTCATGTTTCCATGATGTCCTCATTTTTGGTTAAATCTTTAAATGACAATACAATTTTTTATTTCAGTTTCATCGTTGTTGAATACGGATTTAACTTAAATATAACGTTTGTTCCTTATTCAAATGATGTCGACTTAACAAACTCGATTAAGTTCATGACGATTGATGACTTTGAGTTTGCAGTCGATAACGATTTGAGAGATACTTTAAAGGATATTCCGCTCGGGAAACCAACAGGTAAATAGAGATTGAAAAAAAAATGTAAATCAGGGGTCTCAAACTCGTGGCCCGAGAGCTAATTGCGACTAGTTTGTGGCCCGTTTTACTATGAGAATTTAATGTTAGTGTTTCACCTAGCTCAGTTCGCGTGATTAATGATTAATATATTTAATATGTAGTAATATTATCCGTGTCGGCGCTCCTGAAGTATGTGTACCAATATGAAGGTAACTAATTTTGTTCGCCCATTTCACATCAATTTGTGTAAACGGACTGAAACCTATGAAAGGGGGTATATTCACTTGGCTAACACAAACAGTCCCGAACTTGTAATAAGACTAAAACAAGTAAAATCGGAATAAAATTATGGCCTGACCCCAACCTGTACACATACTTCGAGAGACATTTCGTGCCCCGTAATTACAGTAGACAACCTTTTGTCACTCGCGGGTTAAAATTAAGGGTTGCATGTCATTGGCGGGCCGCACATATTTTTAGAAAGTTGAAAACCGAACGGATGATACTTTTTATAATAAAAATCAAGCAGTGATACATCTCTCGAATAGAATATAGGTTTTGTTCCTCATTAAATTGCATCTTAAAAAACTGCATTTGAATATTTTAGCGCCATTGAACCCTTTGCACTTTGCATCAACTTCTCTGCGTTTAGTTGTCATTTGTCTAATTATAATTAAATTATAGGCTCATTAAACAAGTAATTGTGAAGTATACACTTGTTAGGTTATATTATAGTTTAGTCTACTCGTGTCTCACAATAAATTCTGTTATGTAAAGAACATAATCGTCAAAACAGCTGTTTTGTTACTATAATTCAGTGATGCGTCGCGGGCTGGATTATATTACTCGGAGGGCCGTAGGCTTGGACCACGCTGCAGTAGACGTTCAAGTTTACTTTTCATGATGTATTAATTTAAACAGATCCTTCAAATGCTGGTTTGGCGATGAAGTTTGTTGCAGATAATATATTTGGATTTCATAACTTCCGTGTTCCGATGATATTTCTTCTCACGACCAGAACACCGAGTGACCTACCTCTTGCTAGATCTGTGAGCCGCGACTTACAGGACAGAAATATTCACGTAAGTAAAATACTTCTATCGATACTCGCAGCTAAATGAGATGTAGACTTTTAAGTGCATCTATCTCCAGGTGTTCCTAAAATCGTGGATTTTGACTTGAAATATTATTTGTTCCCAAAAACGAGGATTTCGACGAAAAAAATCTATGCATTGGTTGTTCAGGCAACGCACAAATTCGTACTAATTTCTAATTCTTTAAGGTTTAAGCAACTAACAAAGAACACAGGGATATTTTTGCACAAAGCCACCACTAGTGCAAAAGTGTGAGATTTGAAAAAATACACCCGCCACCTTTCCCAGTTGGGGTTAGAGCTAACATTAGAAATGATTTTAAAATTTGGTCCTCTTTTGACGGAGGCTTTGTACAAAAGATCCGAAAAAGATATGTTATGAAACGAGCGGTATTTGTTGTTCATTTAAAAATCGGCACTCCCGTAGTATGCAAACCAAGATGGCGGACACCGGAACGCAGTATGTAGGTTAGGGTTAGGCTATAATTTTATTCCAATTTTCCTCATTTTACTTCCATTTCGAGTTGCGCGACTAGCCAAGTGACTCCCGTTGTATTGTATCCAAAATTATAGCCTAACCCTAACCTACATACTGCGTTCCTGTGTCCGCCATCTTGGTTTTTCATACTACGGGAGCGCCTATTTTGTAATGAACAACAATTACCGTTCGGCAATATATTTTTTGAATCTTTATAGATCCTAAAAATCATGTCAAATTTGGGTTGTTAGGTGCCGATTATCCATGTTTTGCTTACAAAATATTTGTTTTAAATGTAAAAGTAAATTGATTTTATTTTAATCTTATCATTCAATTCCATCAATAAATAATGAATGAAAGATTACCATTTTCTTTCCAGGTGAGAATTTTTCCGATCGTAGACTCATTCAAATCAGATCCAGGATCAAATAGAAAAGCTTTTGAGTCTTTGACTGAGAATGCGAAATACGTCATTGACGCTGAAGGATCGTCCGAAACGAGCGACAACTTTTACATTAGTGCTTCAGAACGGTTGATTACGGTTACAATCAAACAGTGCAACGAAAGAGCGCAGGCTCTACAACCGTGCTTTTTCCAGAGACCGTAGTTTATGTTAACTGCAGTTCAAATCTGAAGATATTAGATATTAGTCTTTTTCATTTCTATAATCCGTGGTGACAGCAGTTTATTGTAGTCTGGAATCAGTATGTTTCCCAGGGGGGTGGATATTTTGTTATTAGTGATAAAACAATTTGTAACTTATAAATATGTGTTTTGTATATGAATGATCATCTTCACCGGCATATGAGCCACTTTCTGAATATCCGAATACATTTTTACTTATGTTAAGAATTAAAGAATGTTGTCACACCTGAAAATTAGGGAAGGGTTGTTTGAAATTTTAGGGAGTGTAGGGAAATCACTGCCTGGAATAATCAGAAACATTCTTTTCATCTGATAGAATATGGAAGTATCGGGCTAACTACGCACCTTTATCCCTTGAAATATTTTTTGGTGAACTGGAATTTTTTCTCCATCGGATTCGACTGTTGAAATGAACAGTATTTAACATTAGCTCAAACTTTGAACATTTGTAAATTAATTAAAATTTGAAAACATTTGTTAAAATTTAGATTAAGATCACAAATTCACCAATCGAATATTAAAGACATTAAATATTCTGTGGTGTAAATCATATTTATATTAAAGTTTAGTTGGTGTTATGCATTAAAATACAAGAAAATGCAAAGTTATTTTAACAACAGAGTCATTGTATATATATAGGCGATCAGCTTTTTGAAGTCTGTTTATTAAAACGACATACATTTTACCATTCTTTTAAATATAAATTAGGGTCCCTTTGGGCGATTAAATCGTGAAGTTCTAATTAGAAGCAAACCTTATAATTAATCCTAATTAAATCAAACTTATATATATATACATGTACATTCGGTAGCACCATAAGATCAAAAATATATCTCCAATGATAATACTATAGTCGAGATCCTGCGGTGTGCTAGTCCTGGTATGTGCAAACTACGGCCGGTGGGCTGAATCCGGCCCGTTGGGTAATTCAATGTCCGATGCTGTCATAAAACCAAACTTTGACGTTTCAGCTAAAAATAGGATTAGGATTTACATATTTATCCCGGGGGAGAGGAAAGCCGATAAGACGGCTTATCCATACGGCGAACCACGGCCTCTCGTCCGGTTACCATTCCAAGTCGGGTATGGGATTAGTTTTACTGTATTGTTTGTTTTCGGAAGCATGGACTTGGTGGTGGAGGAAGCCGTAACCGACCAGTGGTTACGTGAACCACTCAACGACGGCGAGGAGTCCAGCAATCCTCTCGCACATAACCATCCCTGCATGGGATTCGAACCTGCGAACCCACGCAGAGTAGTTAAAGGTGCGGTGGCGAGCGTATTCCTAACGCTTAGCCCGTTGAGCCGCACCGCCGCGTTGTTGATATTGCGTTCAAATTAAGTTTTAGCACGAGGCTCAATGTTCTGCACTTTTGCAACACTGTAAACATTGTTCATAAAATGTAACTTTTACGTCACACTTACATGGCCCGCCAGTCTAGGTGGCGGGCAAAATGTTTGGCCCGTGGTTCGAAAACCTTGCCAACCCCTGTCTAGTCAGATATTTGTGGCGTTTCGTCTGTTCTGCTATAAGTTTGCGTCATTCTGGCGTGGCCGCGAGCGGAAACATTTGCGTGAGCACGCTATGACGTGACGTTGGTTACGCAGAATGAAAGAGAGCATATATACCCATGTTTCACGCACACATATATACGGAGAATGCCATTCAAATTCCAAAATATATATGTATTCCTAACCTAATGTCTATATGCAAGGCCAAGGGTCGGCAACCTTTTGTCGCTCGCGGGCCAAACTTAAGGGTTGCAAATCTTGTCAGGCCGCACATATTTTTTTAATAAAAGTTATAAACCGAACAGATGGTTGTTGAATCGCATTCTTACACACAGATCAGAAGTTGAAATTTCAGATTTTAAATAGCGAGCGAACACTGCAACGACTCGTGGACTCAAGTCGTCTTACTAGGCAAAAAAATTACAAATTACATTTAATATTGCATCTGTTGTTGCATTGCGATTAATAATAGCTTTTCGATATCAGGTGACACGCTGGATCAAGGCGGGCAAGGTTTTCGGATCGGGGGCCAAAAATTTTGCCCATCTACACTGGCAGGCCATGCAAGTATGAAGTGAAAGTTACATTTCACGGAGAATATTTACAGCGTTACAAAAGCAAAGATGGAAAACGATAAGCCTCTAGCCAAAAATAAATTTAATAACAATCACAACGAATTCCTTGAGCTATTTGTTTTTTTTAGCTAAAACAGCAAAATTTGATTTTAGTTGGATTTTGACAGCATCAGGCGGGCCATCAGGCGGGCCAGAAGTAACCGAGGGCCGTACTTTGCCATGTCTGCGCTAGATGAAGCCAGGTTAGAACATTTTCTAAATGGGATCCACTGATCTGAGCTATCAGCTTGTTCTTTGTAATGATCATTTTCGAAAATAATTGTTCGCACGCATATGTTCTGCCAGGCATCAATGTTTTCGCATGGTTTGTCAAATTTGTATAGAGTTTCTTTCAAGAATTACTTTTTATCAAAATCCAGCAATGACATATCTCTCGGATAAAAATAGATTACTTCCTCATTGCATTGCATCTTAAGAAATTCGCAGCCGCCGTTTTGTCGCTAAATTTCAGTAAAACATCGCGCGTCGGAATATTTTACTCCGTGGGCCCGATATGGCCCGCGGGCCATAGGTTGTCGACCCTTGTGCTAGACCAATAGTCACCAACAGGGGATTCCTAATCGCACCTCCATCATTAATAACATTTCTTAATTTCTTGCATATCAGTCTCCAATTGCGACTTCATAAAATGTGTGAATTGTGCCATCTCAGAGTCTCCGTTTCATTAATTCGACTGGGTATTCATAAGTTAGAATTTTCATTTTCCCCGGAGACAGAAAAGCCGATAGGACGAGAATGATAACGCATTGAGTGGCAAGGAGCTCAACGGTGTTTCGCACATTGAATTATTACCCAAGGTATTTGAACCTGAAAACCCACACAGGTAATTCAGAAGTTGTGGAATTGCCGATTGTGCACGCGATAAAAGCGTACTTTACTACAGTAGAGATAGATGATTACTATTACCGGTAACGGTTCTAAAGATACGGTACCGGTATAACATGCGTAGCAATACGGTACCGTACCACAGTATCTGCATCGTACCGGTACCGTCACTGATAGCTGATAGCATGCGTGTTTCTGAAGCGGCAAACGTCTAGTCGGCATGAAAAATTTCTTGTCTCTTAGAATCTCCACTCGTGCTCCAACAGTGGTTAATGGAGTGAATAAATTAAAAATCGATATAGTAGTTTTATTATTTAAAATTTATTTGCAAAATATTTCACTGAGATTTATGTGCAAAAACATAGCTAAAATCATAAAATATTAATTGAAGTGAGTATTGGGTTCAATAGAATAAAAAATAATACAAGAGAGCTACGCCCAAATATATGGACACGTCTGTTTGCAGTACAGTACGGTTTACCGTACCGTCGATCAGCGTAAGGAAAAAACCGTAGCAAAGTACCGTGTGGACTTCGTTACGGACCATCGACGTTCGATGGCACGTGATCAAAAAGAAGAGGAGTGTCGGCTATGCGTCCGCAGAACGTTCGGTGACGTCATAGCAAACAAAAACAAATCTCACAGAGCTAACAGAAATATTTGAAAGAAATAAAAGTAATAGCCTTCTGGAGAAAAATTTTATCTTTAACCCGTAAAAATTTCGAAGCAATCGGTCCAGTAATGAAAGAGAAAAGCGGTTTTTTAGATTTTCCAATAGATGTCCAAAAAGTGTCAAAGAACAACAACAAGACCAACATAATATTGAAACGATCGTTATGTCCACTACGTGCCCAATAATACACCTTAGAAGAAAGACGCAGATATCAGAGTAAACAATTCCAATTTTCTCTCACAGGATTCGAAACCCCACAAGTTGGTCAGAGGTTAAAAATATTTCATGAGTGTCGTGTGCAAAAATATAAGAAAAATGGCAACATATAAATTGAAGTATTGGGTTCTTCCAGTAGAATATAAAAGAGTAGTGTAATACATCTGAGACACAGATATAACAGAGTAAATGAAAAGACCCGTACAAGTTTAATTTGCTAACGTTGTTTGTTTGTGTGATATGCCTTTTTATTTGACGTAATATAATAGTGAATTTTGTTTAATTACAAAATTATAAAATATAAATTGAAGTATTGAGTTCCAGTAGAATAGAAAATAATAATGTAACACACCTGAGAAAAAAAGACACCAATATAAGAGTGAAGTATAAAATGATGTTTTTGCACCAACACAAATTTTCTAATCTTCTTGTTCAATATTGTTGATTATGTGAGAATAGGTAGGAACAAGGATGTGCGACATTTTTGTCGGTGGGCCATACAACTAACATCAGACATCTAGCGGATCCACACAAAAAATGTAGCGAAAAACCAAGAGAAGCGAATGAGGCTGACGCGTAGCCTTACAGTATTAAAAACACCGGGTAGAAGGGTAAAAGATTTAACACGGCGACAAGAGCAAAAACACATCATTATGTATTTTTAACCAGATGAGCGTCTTTTCAAACATTACCTGTCGGATTAGAATTTTATGCTTTGTTAGAAAAATCTGAGTGTTGACGAGGGCCACAATAAATGACCTGGTGGGCGGGGTTGTGGCCCGCGGATCGCCTGTTGCATACCCTGGTTGACATGGTGACATCCTGTTATCGCCCCACCATCGATTTTTAAGTTCGTTTCTTTGAGTTTGTTAATCTTATAGGTTAATGCCCCAGTTTTTATGTCTTCTTGTATAAAGATTTGTGGTGTGGCCTTTATCAACACTCATATTTTCCCCATCAAGTGTAAAATCCTACCTGATCCGACAGTTTATGTTAACAAGAAACTATGCAAGAACTCGAAATTTCAATTCTCCCAACATTTTGTACTGCGGGAACTTTTTTTATTCGTTGTGTACATGGAAAAACTAAACTGTTTGTGAGGTCCAGCAAGATGTCTGAAGTTGGTAATATGGCCCAACGACAAAAATGTCGCACAACCTGATTTGAAAAGACTGGAATCGTTCTGTTTCAACATTGTCTACTCAATATATTACTCTACGAGCGAGGCAGCCCCTTCTTTAGTACTAATTGCATAGAGGCATAAAATGTGCCGAATTCAGATCTGTGTAAATCTTAGGTATGAAAACCGGCTCTCTTCGCAAGAATAATCTCTCTAAATTATGTCTTTCAAGTTTTAAAACTGTTTTCCTTGACACGAAATATGCCACTGAGTGTAGCCCTATAGCGGCATCTAGCGGAAGTGAATCTTGAGGTAAAATTTGTCTCGAGTCTTGTGGATAAAACTCTTTCACTTTTTCGTTCAATTCATCGAAGATATAGTAACGTTTCTTCTTGAAAATAACCATGTAATGTGTCCCCGGTATGTGGATTGCGGCGTCCGGTTTTGTTGGTATCCGGTGGTTCCGGACAAGCCGCGGATATCCGGTTTCACAACGACCATCAAAATGGCGCCAATATTTGTGACCTGCAAAAATTAGAGAACCGTGTCATTCGGTTTTAATGCCATTCCTCAAATTTTCGTTCAATATATAGCTCTAGACAAATAGCAACAGGCTGACATATAGAGCAGGGGGTGTGCAACCTTTAATACAGGAGGTCTAGATAGAAATAACTGGATGAAACCGCGTACACACTGGGTGAAGTCAGATTCTGTGGTCGCCCATAACTTTTCTCAGAAATGACAAGAATGATGAAATTTCAATAAATTAAAATTACCGCCGAAATTACTACTTTCCTTCTAATTCTGAGAGAGTGTGCATAACTTTGCTCAGAGATGAGTCTCTTTTATTTCTGTGGTCGTCCAAAACTTTACTCAGAAATGAATAATTCAATGAATTGAAATTACTGCCGAGGAAATGACTTTAACTGTTTTGAGTATCGTGTAAGAGAAACGCGTTCTTTATTTCTAAGTGAGGACGTTTGGGTGCTCTTGAAGTATGCGTACCGAGATAGTGGACACCGGGACGTAGTATGTGTACCAGGTTAGGGTCAGGCCATAATTTTATTTATATTTTCCTTATTTTAGTTTTATTATGAGTTCGGGAACTAGCCAAGTGACTCCCGTAGTATTTGTACCTAATATTACGGCCTAACCCTAATCTGGTACACATCTTACGTACGTTCCGGTGTCCACCATCTTGGTACGAGACACCCCAGAATGAGAACCCAAGCTAATATTCCCAGTATCAAATTTTTAAACCTGTCAAAATAATAATAAAAACAACAAAAATAAAAGTACCCGAAAATATATAAGTTCTTTTACTAAACTCCGAATAGCAACTCGCGTCAATTCTCGGCTTCGACAGTCGGTAACGTCTTCGAATCTTATCCGGTTTTGTTACAGATCTTGTAGTTTCATTCATCGTCCAATAGTATCTTCCTTTGAAGAAATAAGTAATACCTTCAGCTGAAAATAAATAAATCAAAATTAATTTTTGATTATTTGCTGACAAAGGTTTTCTGGTGCTCCCGAAATATGCGAACCAAGATGGCGGACATCGGAACGTAACATGGGTAACAGGTTAGGGTTAGGCGATAATTTTTTTCCAATTTTCCTTATTTTAGTCCTATTATCAGTTCGAAGACTAGCCAAGAGCCTCCCGTAGGTGACCGTACATTTGAACCCATGTACATTTGAACCCATGCGTATATCCACGGGTTCAATCTATATGCGGGTGCTAAAACCCATTGGTTAGGGTTAGTATGGGTTTAACTATCCGTGAAACAAAAAATAATCCATAGGTGCAATAGCATACAGGTGCAATTGTCATGGGTTCAAATGTACGTGGGTTCAAATGTAATGGAACCCCTCCCGTAGTATTTATACCTAAAATTATGGCCTAACCCTAACCTAGTACACATATTACATTCCGATGTCCGCCATCTTGGTTCGCATACTTCGGGAGCCCCGGTTTTCTAATACGGGGTCAGGTAGGCCTGTGCTGGTGGTAAATTAGCAAAAAGAAATTTCGAGGTCTTCGGCCTTGAATGACGTAACTTGAAATAAATTGTTTTGATAAAATAAGGAAAACACGTATTTTTGATTTTCAAAATACTTTGTTGAATTTGGCTTCAAACTTGAAACGAATTAAACGCCTTTATTACTTTGTGATTTTTTCGAATATTTTTTTGTTAATTTCAACATCCACTATTTTGTTTTGAAACCCTCAAATTGTTTTTTTCCCTCGGACAGGAATAGATTTCAGTTTAATTCCCAATCATGACCAAATGAAGCCATCAAACACATAGAATTGCAAAATCCTGCGTTACGTAATAGATAGGATTACCATACGTCCATATTTAGCCCGGACTGGCCGGATTTTGACAAGCGTCATGGCGTCCCTGAGTATGACAATCATTTTTATTTTTAATATTATTATTTTTTTTAATTTGCCAGCCCCCTCAAAAAATTGTCCCTCCTCATTTGTAGGCCAACCGTTTGAAAACCACTGCTCTTGAACTAGAGTATGTTGTATGTTCCAAACGACCTTGGTTCTGTTAATGGACACCCTGTAGTAATTCCCGCAAACAGACAAACCTGAAAACATTGCATCTATCGTTGTATTGCAGGGATTCGGAGGGTCGATCTTCCTTCTCTCATTGATTTTCTTGAAAATCGGCATTTCTTCAAAATATGGTCTTATGCGTGGTCGAGTTCTGGGGCCTTAAATAATAAAAAAATTCAGAATTTTGAATATTTGATGACGTTTTATGCTTCAATTCAGAACAAGGGTTTGTACAAGTAGTCACTATGATGTAATAATGAGGGGCGTGGCCGAATTTTGAAGGGAGGATGGTTCTGAAAATTCTAATTGCCAAGTTAGACGTATCAGCTATCAGGTCCGACCGGAAAACGTGGGTTCCAAGAATCTTGAGGAACTAAACATCGTTTCGAGCTATGAAAAATTTCTATGTATGGTACAGAAAAATGCTTTTTTTACATTTCAAAGGGTGGTAGAGTGCTAGATGCGCGTAAAAATATTTATAAAATTGAAATAATATTGAATCATTTTCATGTCGAGTTCCAAAATAGGCAAAGAGAGAAATTTGAAAAGATTCCCTTAACTATCTCTCACCGTACAAGTTCTGTAGGGCTTCAATATCACTCTCATGTAACAGTATCTTCCCTTGCAAAATTCTTTCCGAATACAACGGATACATGACTCCGTGCACCTCATCTGTGTGTTGAAGCCCAAGAGCGTGACCGATTTCATGCAACGCCACCAATACAAGACTAAAGAAAGAAAAGATTGTTCCGTTATTCTGCTTGAAGGCGAGGTTTCCTTGTTTATTTTTGTGATAATTACAAATCAGCAATGAGTCAACAATGACGTAACAATTGGAAGTTATGCCGCTGCTTAGACAGATATGCAAGCGTGGTTGTAAACATTGCCTTTTTTGGTAGTTTTGCGGTGTATTTGAAATTTTTTAAAATTGTCAGTTTTTAGATATGTTTCCAAAAAATAGTTTTGAATCAAACAACTTAATTGTCATTATGTCTTCTGGGTCTTTAGTTTAGTTATAATAATCAAAAATTGATACCCAAACGCTGCGATAGTCCATCTCAACATTAGCTATCAGTACCTATAAGAGGCGCATGGTTTAATGCCTTCAATAAAAACGGAGGTGCTCCCGAAGTATGCGAACCAAGATGGCGGACATCGGAACGTAACATGGGTAACAGGTTAGGTTTAGGCGATAAATTTTTTCCAATTTTCCTTATTTTAGTCCTATTATCAGTTCGAAGACTAGCCAAGGGCCTTAGGGCGTAGTATTTATTCCTAAAATTATAGCCTAACCCACATATTACATTCCGATGTCCGCCATCTTGGTTCGCATACTTCGGGAGCCCAAAAACGGAAGTTTTGAACATGTGAGCCAGTTTGTAAGCGCCAACTCTCCAAAACTCTCTCAAAGTTTCAAACACCCCGCCTAAATATGAGGTATAAAACCACACTTCAATTCTAGCGTAGATAAAATTGTATTTTAATGCACTTGAAGTGGCTGATGAGAAAAATTCAATCAGTTTTTCCAATTCCACGAAATATACTATTACTTATTTAAAGTCAGTAATGCGTAGCTTAATCGCTTTCTACATGAAAAAATTTAATTGTAGTTTTTAATGCCATAATTATTGAAATTATTCGTTAGTATGTTATATTTAAACGATGGATCAGTTTCTCCAAAATGCAAAAATTTCAGTTATTGATAAATAATTTGATGTATAGAACAATATTTGGTCAGCAATTCTTAGTTATATTGTAGGATAGGATTTACATATTTATCCCAGGGGATAGAAATGACGATAAGACGGCTTAACCATATGGCGTATTCCTGGCGCTTTGTGTGTTTTTTGCCTTACAACAATTCTTGCACGAATAAAATAAATATTTGAATCTATCGGTGAAAGTAAAAATTTCTTGCAGAATCTAAAACTGAATTGAATAAGCTCTTACAGATAACAATTCAAGAAGAATTGCACGAGTCAGAGTTTTCGTTTTCAAAATTCAGATTTCTCGGAGCTCGTTACGGTAGCCGAATCTCTGCAACCCGGAGTTGGAGTCAAAGTTTTGTCAACCGGAGTCGAGAGTCGTTTATGAATGGCTCGGACGTTGGACCCGGTTGTAAAACTATACAGTCTTGTGAAATTTACCTGTATATTTCCGCTCCAAGTACAATCGACCTTTTTCCAGTTGATGACGTCACTAGTCTATGACGTAACTTTGATGCACGTAATCCCCAATTTTCGTCAGCATCGAAATGTATTTCTCCAGACTGTGGACAATGGGCATGCGCAAGATGGCCTCCAGGCCCATCGAAAGCCAAGGATACTCCGTCGCCGTGATCGCCTTTATGAAATCTAGGAATAGCAGTAATATGAGAAAGGGAATCAAAATCCATGAAAATTCACCTGCTAATTTATATTCATACCTGGCGCACCAGAAGCGTGTGTAGCAATATGGAGGTAACTAATTCTGTACGCCTATTTTACATCAAGGCACTGAAACCTATGTCAGGGGTATATTCACTGGTCTAACACAGACAGTTCCGAACTCGTAATTGGACTAAAATAAGGAAATCGGAATGAAATTATGACTTCAGCAGCTCTATCGAATTATCACCAATCGCTGAGTAGACGAACATTTTTAGAACAATGCTCGCTAGTAACCTTGATTTTGGCTAATAGTAGTAATTGCTATTAGCGATATAGCGGTAATATTGCTATTGTTTCGAAGAATATTCACACTAATCGCTCCGAACAAGACCCTATTTAAGCAGCCACTGATATGTAATGAGTAGTTATAATATGTGTATATAGAAGTATTATATTAATAATGACTAAATAACAGTAGTAAGACTATAACAAATAAAAAGCCCAATTTCTCCCCAAGAACAACAAAATTTCTCCCCTGAAAGTATTCCTTACCCGTCGTGCGAAAAAACGTCACTATTCTATAAGGAGGATTAGTTGAAGAAATAGAGCTGTTGTTGTTCAATGGATGCCATAACTGAGGACAGGGTACGTCTTAGTGTATCCGATTGAGCACGGCCGTTTTGGCGATATCTAATTTGGTTCCGTCTATCATAGAGTTAAGAACGGAATGAATTCTTGACTTTATGAAATGAGAAAAGTGAATGCCGTTACTTAGGGTTTTGGCGTTGAGCACGGCCGTTTGAACAATAACTAATATAATCCCAGCCAGTAATAACCTTACAACCCATCCGCATACAGGGGGTGAACCCCCCTTAAAAATTCAAACACTCCCCCCCCCCCCCCCTGATTTTAAGGTGTGACAGCTTACTTTTATTCCTTACTTGAATAAAATTGGATTTGAATATCCAGAAAGTGGATTGAGTGTCGGCGGAGATGATCAGTTAAATACATAACACATTTTTATAAGTTAAAAATAGGGTGCCTTATTCTCGATTAACCGTTTAACCGTTGAAAATCTCATTTTATAATCACAAACCTGAGATGAAAATCCGCTCTCTCTTCTTTCGTTTCATGGAAACTGAGATCTGAGTATTTCGACCAAATATTAAAAGCACGAAGAATAGCATGACTCGTCTCTTTTTCAGTCAATGACGTAGGGTAATTATGCAGTTTGTAAGTAAAAGAATTCTTATGCCATCTTACCGGTGTTTCGATCAGAACTCCTAAAATAAAAAATATCTTGTTTTCAGCCAAAGCACATACAATGTATACGGATATGTACTGGGCTAGTGAATTTCAACCTTTTCGGAGGAGCGCAATCTTAGCGTAATCAACTTCAGACGTGTAGCCAGAGCACTCAAAAAATTAGATAAAACCATGCCGAAAAGAAAAGAGAAGATAATGCGGTTAGCCTTACAATGATAAAGCCACCGGTCAAAATAACGAAGATATACCGCAGCGGAAAGATGAAAAAAATTACATATTTTTACCATGCGACTTTTTAAACATAAACTGTCGGATTAGGATTTTATACTCAAAAAATCTTGACAAGGGCCACGCTAAAATGCATTAAGTGAACCAAGTTTTATAATAGTGGCAAACCTAATAGGTATTTGATTATATTTAAACAATATACATATAATAATATAGACTTTCGGAATTAAAAGGAAGCTTGCGGTGCTGACAAAATCCTGGGGTGTCGGTGACCCTGGTTTAAACCACTTTACTTTGGAGATAGTTTTAACGAACGCTTCAGAATTGTAACGTAGTGAGCTCGCTCCAAAATATTATCGTTTGACTGAGACTATTTTGTTCTGTATGAAGTCTTTGACATCAACGGCGGTTAACCGGTTACTTTTGTTTGGATGACGGTAAACTGTTTTTAATTGAATTTCAATTCGTATATCTATAATCTGCGGTATCAATATGTCACTGAGTGACATAATAAAAATAAACAGTGCTGCAAGGACGGTCTCAGAAATAAGTGTCATACATATATCATTAGATCTTCCATGTTCTGAATAAAAATATTTCTAACAGTTTAATAGTAATTCTGCAGTTCGCAAAATCTCACGAAAAGCAAATGCAATCGGCAACTGGACAAACCAAAATAAACGAGAATATCGTCAGAGACCGAAGACTTATCGATCGAAAGTTAGGGGATCCCCAAACAGAGCTCTTACTCCATAGTGACATCTTGTGTCCCATCACTAATCAATTAATAACTCCCAAATTATACGACATAATTCGCCCAAAGTTAATAGGCTTCTGGTCCGAGAGATGATGAATGCACATGCAAAATCTGGAGCAGATTTAATCGCTTTCGTGAGATATCGCGTGCTTCTAATAGACATACAGACAGACAAATACCTATCAACATACTTACCGATTAAAATCGATAAGTAATGATAAAAAATTACAATCACCGTGCTGTCTCTTGCTTCGGGGCCCTCGGGAATTTTCATCTACGTTTGCCAAAGGATCAATGCTGCAGGTCCTAGATGTCGTTGTATAGATGAGATCATTGTTACTGCTAGAGCTATAAAGACAAGAGAGCAACGCTCAAATATATGGACACGTGGAATAGAACGAAGCAGGGTTTACCTTTGACGTTACCGGTACCGTACCCTCAAAAAGTTCCGGGTTTTCAGTCGCAAGAATTTTCACAGTCAGCCGTCACGCTTGGCGGATTAAAAACCATGTTCCCATATTTAAAAATTAATACAGCGCAATTTTGGATGAAATATTAGATCTCATAAGATTCATAGAAAATTCAGGAATAAATGAAAGTAAAAGCCTTCTGGCAAAAAAATCAATCTTGAACCACTGAAAATTCCAAAGCAATTGGTCCAGTATTCGGAGAGAAAAGCGATTTTTTAAAAATGATGGAGACAAATAACAATAACAACAAAATTTTGAAACGATCGTTATGGCCACTAAACGTGTCCAATAACGGAATTGTATACCCAGCTGGCGGTTAAACTGTGCTGGCATCGCAGAATACACATTTCGGGCTGTGGCCGGGGGGGGGGTTTGAGGGTCGGAATTGAAATGTAAAAAAAGCAAGCTATGTATCATACATAGCATAATTTTTGCAACTTGAAACGCTTTACAAACCCTCGAGACTGATATCAAAACAGAAATCCAACGACTCCCTTGCCCGACCCGGTAGCTGATACGGTATAACTTGGTAATTGAAAAAGTCAGAACCATCTTTTGAAAATTTCTTACTGCACGTGTCCCACTGTTTTTCGCGGTAATTCAGCCAATCGGAGATTCACTTCAATCTAGATTGTATGACAACTAGAAAACTGCTTCATGTGTTCCACCGATCGTGTAGATTTTACATCATGCAAGTGTTAAGTAAAAATAAGTGAAAGCCTTCTATCGATTTTTTTTAACTAAGTATAGTACTGAATTTTTCAAGTACACCGGTCTTTACTTGCGAGCGAAGAAAGGCAATCGAAGAGACAACAACAACATAATAGGACTAGAATATCGGTCGGAGACCGAAGACTTATCGATCGAGAGTCAGGAAATCCCACTAAACAGGAACTGCGGTTTCGATTCATCCCCTCTTACTCCATAGTGACACCGTGTGTCCCCTCACTAATTAATTAATAACTGGCTAATTATACGACATAATTCATTCAAAATCAATAGGCTTCTGATCCGAGATCCGATCCGATCAAGATCGATGGGTAATTAAGCAAAAGGATCTATCGCTTAGCCTTACTTTAATAATAAGGGCACCGGTCAAAACAGTGAAAGATTTAACGCAGCGACAAGAGCAAACAACAACACGTATTTTCAATATGTGGGTGCCTTCTTGAATCTTAAAAACTGTCGAATTAGGATTTATGCCAGTCAGAATTAGTAAACGAATAGCTCGCGTAGCCCCTAGGATTCTATCTTGCCTTGAGACTCCGTACGGAGCACTTTGTGAACGTATGCTCTAGTTCAGGGTGGTCCAATGTTGTCGGCTTAGCGGGCCACGAAATCCTTTTTGCATTGTTCGCGGGCCACAATAGTGCCAAGAATAGGTAAACAGTGCAATTCAAAACAAATACTTTTATTGTGCAAACACATAGTTATCAGACATAACCATCCCAGACTAATAGAATCCGCATTCGATTTTTAGTTTTCTATGATGGCTATATTGTTAGCATATTTTCCCGACCAAAAAAAAAAGAAAGCCACATAATAATTTAGAGTGCCAAGCACATCATTCAACTTCGCTAGTTGCTTCAGCTAGCCATAACACTAGTCAATTCAGTGACATTATTGATGTAACAATATGTCAAAAGATTTTTCTGATTAATTTTATTACGAAAAAACACGAAATGCGATTTTTTGATTACTCTCCGAATGTGACGCGGGCCACAGATAATAAAGCGGCGGACCACATGTGGCCCGCGAGCCTGGATTTGGTCCACCCCGCTCTAGTTGGTCATACCTTGTAGCAGATTGATACGGTGGCTTTGGATCGAGTCGAGTATCGGAAGACAATTGTCTCTTACGTTTCATTTCACTTTCGATCTAAATGTAAAAAGAAATTCATGATTACACGAGCATTAAGGTTAAAACTCCATCAGTTTTCAAACTAAGCAAAATTTCTTATTGGTTCAGCAGAGCAAATCAAGTTTTTATGCTGTTTATGTAATTTATGTTATTGTACGTTTTTTTCACTATTCCTGATATTTATGAAATTTTGGACAATTTTAGACAAGTCGCTAATGCCTTTAAATTGCTGAATTTATCTTAACTGTAACAAGATTTGTTATAATTCCTTCCGATAAAACGATCTAGACAAGAGTAACAAAAAAAATGTTGCAAAAATGTACTGATTTCGATGCTTATAAGTATAAATATTTTGCGCAACGATTTTACTCCTCCGCTTATGAAAGTAAAACATAAACACGATATTGAACCCGATTTTAGATCGCGTGCAAATTGATAGTTGTGCTATTGGAGATGGATTGCACATGCAGTAGGAACAAAGCGGGCATCATACTTTATGCGCATATTGTGCAACGTCATTTTAAAACGCCTCATTCGTTATGGCTGCCCATGTCTTATTAAGAACGTGTTAATCCACGATTGTACAAGGCCTCGTTTGAAGTTTATGTTATTCACGCGCATATTGTCTGCCCATATGTCTAATTTTAGATTGATTCTCCTTTCATAACAGTAAAAAGACAGTGGATGGTTGTAATGGCTCTTGAAAAACGAAAATAATCTGAAATTTTTAATTGTTGAATTATATTGTAACAGCCAGCGGGTACGACCGTATGCGCACCAAGATGTCGCACAACCTGAATCCTAACCGGTACACACATACTATGTTCAGGTTGTGCGCCATCTTGGTGCGCATACTTCTGGAGGTCCAAAATCCTTTTTTTACATTTCAAGTTCGACCCTCAAACCACACCCCCTGGCTACCCCCGCACATACAGTTAGATATCAATGGCTGCTTGCACAGGAGCAAAATACGTAATTAATGGTCTTGCAAAAAATTTGAATCGCGTGCCAGTTTGGCTTAGAATGGCCATTCGACAAATCAAAGTCTTCATCCGACATTCCAACTAATTTCCGGAACAGGTGGTTCTTATTGTGACGTTTCAATGTGGATGAAATCAACCGTCACGACCTGTCCAATTAAATTGATGTTCCAAATTACCATCGACCGAACGAAATATCGCTTTAAATTAGAGTAAAGAAAATTTAGGTACCTTTCACGTTTGGCCATGTAAAAAACGGTTGTAATAACTATTTGAAGTTTGTACTCGCCACCATTTTTTTTTTATGAAAACCTTTTTTAGCCATTTTTGCGAACAATTTGATAAAATGATATTTCTTTTGAATGTCACTCAACATTGACAATATTGGAAAATATAGGCTGTTAAAAAAATTGTAATTAAAAATAGAATTTTGAAGTATTCGATTATGAGTAGTATCACGCTTTAAGATTGAACGAAAAAAGCACAATAATTTTGAGAATGCATTTGTTATCCAGGTACTACTTTTTCAGTTTCTGCCGAAAATTTGAAATTTGTTACCTCCATTGGCTGCGAAAAAATCGTAATTTTCGTTCGGCTGCGATCCCAAAACTTTTTGTCGAAATATTTTTTTGACTGCTACCGAATATCTGAAATTCCGATTCCGAATAATTTGACTTTAATACCAAAAAAGCCGACTCCAGAGTCAAAATACCAGAAAACCAAATGTTTTTCACAAACACTTAACGAGAATATCGGTCAGAGACCGAAGACTTATCGATCGAAAGTAAGGGGATCCCCCAAAACAGCGCTCTTACTCCATAGTGACACCGTGTGTCCCATCACTAATTATTTAATAACTCGCTAATTATACATAATTCATCCAAAATCAATAGGCTTCTGATCCGAGATATGATGAATGCATATGCAAAATTTGGAGCGGATTCATCCACGCTTTCGAGAGATATCGCGAGTATCTAACAGACAAACAAACAAACAGACAAATACCTATCAACATACTTACCGATCTTAAGATCGATAAGTAATTATCTGTTACTGTTAGTAGTAGTTAGAAAACGAAATGTCAAAACTCCTAACTTTGATTACCAACAAATTCCGAAACAAATTTTGACGGAAAAACTGCGGCATAGTCAAGACTTCTCAATTTTCTGCTATAAATGGTTATTCAACTTAATGCTTTTCGTCAATTTTTTTTTTACTTCTATCGTAATCGATTCCGAACAATTCAAAGATTTAAATTTGTCCTCGACTCTGGAGGGTTTTGAAATACGAATCCAGCAATATCAATAAAACAGGCCAATACTAAAGAAAGATCCAAAAAACTAAGAAATCGAGAGTTTTTTACAAAAACTTTTGGCGTATGCAAGCGTCTTTAAACACCTGTTAAAAATTCTTAGCTCAAGTTAACTTGCTTACTTTTCAGTTTTGTCAAATATTTCGGCCTGGATCACCATTATTAAACTCTGAGATTTTGAAATTTTACTTTCGTTCCGACTGGAAAGTTTGAAAGAACTATTCCGTCTTCAATATCAATATGAACACGTCAAACCGTGACTCCAGAACTCAAGTGCTACATACATGCTTCTTTAAGTATTTTTGCCAATGACAGTAAACCTGGTGCTTTTTTAATCGCGTCAAAATTTTTTGTCATTATCAGAAGTCTGAAATTCTGAATATTTTGATTTTGGCTGTGTCGCACGAATAGGGCTGGGCATTTTTGAACACTTCATGATTTTAGAATCGAATATTTTTTCCGAATTTAATCCGGATACTTAGAAGATTTGTATTTGTATATAATTTTTTTTTTTATTGTGAAGGATCATCCAGGCACATAAGTTGCTTAAACAGTTAGATTGCTCACTAGGAAGAAAATAATGGTATGTCATAATTACATTATTAAAGATGCTCCCGAAGTATGAGAACCAAGATGGCAAACACCGGAACGTATGTGTACCAGGTTAGGGTTAGGTCGTGAACTCACTCACCATTTTGAAGTATCTTTCCATTTCCTCGGCCATTTCCATTGCAAATGTTACTTGAGCCGCCCCGATAAATAAGTGCAAAAATAATGTAACCAGTATGACCTTTGACCCCATGTTTAAAAGTTTTAATTTAAATTGATGGCTATTTGGTCTGTAAAAATAGAAACGGAAATTGTTGAATTATTACAGAGGGAACAGAGCGGGTAAGAAACTTTAATTCCTTACTGCATGCGATTTTTATGTTTGATTTGCAATAACAAAGCCAATCCAGTATGTTTCTCAGATTTTTATTTTCGGGCGGAGTGTTTCCAAATTTAGGGTGTGGTAGATATTTTGTTATTAGGGATAAAACTATTTGTAGCTCAAAAAAAGTGTTATGTATTTGACCGATCATTTGCACCGGCATATATAGCCACTTTCTGAATATTTAAATACATTTTTATTTATGGTAGGAATTGAAGTATGGTGGGAAGTTCACTGAGCTAATCGGCAAAACAAAGTGATATACACAAGCGGCTACAGCAGTTGAATGGCAAAAATATATATTCAATGAATTGCAAGGTCTCACAGAACTCCTCTCATTACAAGCCTCTAGACAAGAAAGATATCGCCAAATTCACTAATTTCTTACAACAAAATTGGTATAGAATAATCATATATGAATAAAGAATCAGATTTTACCAGATATCGGCGTCTGAAATATTGTCTTTCTAATTGTATCATTACAGACCAAAGACTGCTACAGCAGTTGAATGGCAAAGATATATATTTAATGGGTTGCAAAGTCTCACGAAACTCCTCCCATTACAAGGCTCTGAACAAGAGCAATGCAAAAGGAGATCACCAAAATTCACTTGGAAACTTATATGGACATATAATAATCATATGTTATTTCCAATATATTTTACCGTCGGAAAAATCGTATGCTGGAGTTGACGCAAGATCATCAAAAATACCAAATCTGTGTGAAACTTTCGATTGGTATTTCGAATGGTCAGTTGATCAACTAATGTATCTGTCTCTGAGAAGGCTAAATTTGTTCAAATCCTTTTTAACCCCGATGCCAACAACGGCAAATTCAACCATATAAATTATTATTTCTTCATATTTCATCTTGAAATCACCCAGAATAGTCATTGAGATTTCTCGTCGTAAATGGGAAAATGGCCATTTACGCTTGACCACTCAACCTTGGTCTTTGTTATTTCAATACTCAGAGATGGGTAGAAGAATCATTTTACTAATTTGATTGGTGTAAATTACATGGTATTTGCTTTTGCGAATTTATTACGAATTTTATTTGAATTTTGTTTGGACTTACACAAAAAATAGTTGGACCTCCTGAAGTAAGCGCATCAATATAGCGCAAAACCTGAACTCAAGTTGTGTACAAGGTTAGGGTTCATGTTGTGCGACATCTTGGTGCGCATACTTCAGGAGTACCAAATAGTTATTATTTATTTTATACATTTTTGGCCCATCTATAGATAAATTGCGTAACTTCAAGCTTTTACTGCAATTTATTCAGAGTAAAATCTATCGCACTCACTCAGAAGAAACGTAGAGTTTTCTACCAAAGTCTCGAACACCACTCCCTTCACGTAATTATAAACTCGTTATTCCTCCCTCACTAGGCAAAAAAACGTTGTTTCATTTGTTGTTCAATCTTCAATGGATTATTATCTTTTTGCACAGTTAGAGTAATTCATAATGCGTCCATAGGTATTCCAATAAAACCTGATAATTAAACAATATTACTAATATTTCACTCAAATGCAAAGTAAATTTTCTTCCCTGAATAATTGAATTCTTCTCGGAGCAGTAATTCCTATCTGGTTGGTAAACCCTGGCTTTCTAATAAACCTATAATAAATCTAATAAATCTCTAATAAAAAACTTTTCTATTTAAATCATCAATAGTTCATGATGTGGCCTTAAATATGTATTGCAATAATACTAATATTTCACCAAAATGAAAAGTAAAATTTCCTTGCCCTAAATATTTAAAATCCCCCATTGGAAGGATTGATCCCTGGCTTTCTAATAAACCTCCATCTTCCCGCGAGAAACTTTTCTATTTGAAATCACCAATGCGAACACGCGGACATTTCAAACTCAACACTGTTAGTAATATCCGTAAAATAAACAAACTTTAAGTGTCATTATAAGTCTCTCGGTTTCCGTTTATCACACTTAAACACTGTTAGAAAATTTAGAAAAATAAATGCCTTTGCACGGTATTCAATTAGCTGAACTTTGATCTTTTTTTATTCGGCGTTTCCACGCGGTTATTTCTAACAAGGCTCTGTACAAGCAAGAGCTACTTTTTGGCAGGAAGATTAAATATAATTACAAATTCGAGTTGGTTATATCCTCTGGCTTATGTGGTTTCCAAAATTTTCGGTAAATCCCCCTTCGCAAATTTTTGAATTCTCTAATCCCCCTCCCCCTCAAGCCCAACTTATAAAAGCGAAAGAACAAATGCATTACAGTTAAGGTATTAAACCAATCGCAGCCAATTTACTTAAATTATTATAGTCATTTCGAATGGTACCTCGTGAGGTGCTTTGCTCGTGTCCCGCAGAGAATCGTTCGGTGACCCCTTAACAGGGGTCCAGAATCTAATTTGAAAACCCCTGGCTTGAAGATTAATTTGCAGTATATGCGTAAAATAACCTACGAGAAATCCAGACAGTAGAATGCATCGTCGATTTGGTTTCTGTGAGACTTAGGATTTATCCTTATTTTATGCTTTTGTGTCGATTTATCCATATAATGCAAGGATGCTGTGGCAAAAGTAAATATAACTATCCTACGTGATTCAAGAGCCTTGTGTATTTTTGTACGGTTGGTCTGCGAGAAATTATTTTTGTTCTAGTTAGCAGCGAGACTATTGAATCTCATAGTATAATGTATATTTCCCACAATATTAAATTATATCCACGACACAAAATATCTTTAATGAGCATGAACCACGCACGTTTTATCATTGGCCGTGTTAAAACGGGCAGACTGATTCAACGAAACGCGGCGTGAAATATTTGGGTCGAGAGGGGATTACGTAGTGTTGAAGATTTATTCGAAACTTTTAGTTACGCCTCATATTTTATGTTTTGTATTTTAAGAATTATTTATTTTGTTGTCGGATACGACAGAACTCATGTGACATTATTCAATTTTTTGCGGGATGGAATAAAACTCGTATTTGTGAATCTTAAGGTGCTCCAGAAGTGTGTGTACAAATATGGAGGTAACTAATTTTGTTTGCCTACTTTACATCAAGTTGTGTAAAGGAATGAAACCTATGGACAGGGTGTATATTCACTCGGCTAACACGGACAGTCCCTGAACTCGTAATAGAACTAAAATAAGTAAAATTGGAATAAAATTACGCCATGACCCTAACCTGGTACACATACTACGGGAGTACCCATTTTAGACACTTTCGAGAAATAACAGAACGATTGCGCAACGGATCGGGGCATGAAAAAAAATATTTGTCGGCCTTGTCGAAAGAAATGTAACTTTGTCTTTTGGATAACTAAGCGGTTTCGCTAACAGTCAGCAAAACGGGGTAATTATGTGTCTACGGCAAAGCCTCCTTATGCATAATAACTACTTCATTTATTCAATCTTTTATTGATCCTTTCTGATGTTATGCGCAAGTCATACACTCTTTTTTTGTACAGTTTGAGCAGATTATAAATAAATATAATAATAATAAAGAATATTAGTATTATTACAGCCATTACAAAGCAAAATTTCCCCTAGGTGCAACAGAATTCCTCCCTAATTAGGGAACGTGGCACTATGCTAGTGATCAACTTCTTGAGACCTGGCCTGCACATGGTATATAAAGAATGTTCACATTCACCCTTAGGGGAGAGGAAAGGGGTTAATAATAATGGTTCCCACCATCTCACAGGGACCAAAAAGTTTTGTGAGCAATACGCTGAACAATGAATATCCCGATTTTTACAAAACTCACCCATATATCAGTGGCTGCCTGACTGGCAGAGCCTTACTCTGAGAGAAGATTTAAATACGTAATCATGGCTTAGGTTCTTGATGTTTAAACAAAATGTTTTACTGATTACAGACTAATTCAGAAACAACCATACTTTGATGCAAAATTTTAATCTGAATTTTCATTTTCTAAAATTCGAAATCCGAGTTTACTTATTTGTGCTGGCGGATCCGTATTCATATAATGCAAAGATGTTATAACAAGAGTAAAGATAACTATCCTAAGTGATTCAAGAGTCTTGCTGCACACTAAAACACAGATATATTTATGTATCGTTTCATCTTGAAAAGTCATTAAGTATATATTCAGTCAGTATGAGAAATTTTCGATTTTCCTCTTCGTAATAAATTATCGTAAGGATGTAAGACATCTTATTTTTTAAAATTTCGTTTTTTAAAATTGGAGTTCTGAAATTTTTGTTGCACACATCCGTTTAATTTATTTTAAGTCTATAAGAGTCAGTAAGAGAAATTGCAGATTTTCTTATTTGCATGACATAACAATGAGGATGTAAAACATCTCATTTACAAAAATTTCATTTCTGAAATTTTGCATTATTGGTGCACAAATCTGTTCAGGCTATTTGCAGTTTATTTGCGATAAATTGTTAAAAGGATGTGAGGCAAAAGTTCATTTTTAAAATTTGAATTATTTGTGTGTAAATTCATTTAATGTCAATATATTTTTGCGAGGTTGCAAGACATGATACTGTTTCGATTTTGCATTCACCAATATAAAGCCTTCAAAAAGTTTTTGTGTACCGACCTTTACGTTGACGAAACTATATGCTGCTTTGCATGCATTGGGAATGAATTTTGCTTCGTATTTTCTGTAGTATTGCTAATATTATTTAGTTATTTTACTTTTGCTATAATACTTATTTAAGCACACATTATTAACTACCTAAACTGTACAAATGCGGCAGTGCGATTTGCGCATAACATTAGCAAGGGATTCAATAAGGGATTGAATAAACAAAGTAGTTTTTATACATCGTGATAGAGGAATTAGGAACTCCAAAATTGACAAAAGGAGGAATTTAACAACAACAAAAATGGGAACCATTGGCATAGACCAGTGGTTGCCTAACAGCGGCCCGCGG